GGAGGAGTTTAATGTTACTGGGAGGAGTTAAATGGGAGGAGTTAAGTGTTACTGGGAGGAGTTAAATGGGAGGAGTTTAATGTTACTGGGAGGAGTTAAATGGGAGGAGTTAAGTGTTACTGGGAGGAGTTAAATGGGAGGAGTTTAATGTTACTGGGAGGAGTTAAATGGGAGGAGTTAAATGTAACTGGGAGGAGTTAAATGGGAGGAGTTCAATGTTACTGGGAGGATTTCAATGTTACTGTGAGGAGTTAAATGGGAGGACTTAAATGTAACTGGGAGAGGCTATGTGCAGATGGTTTGATTACAAATGGGCGGGGTTACATATTAACAGGGCGGCTATGATAGAAATGGGCGGGGTTACATATTAACAGGGCGGGCTGTAATAGAAAAGGGCGGGGTTACATATTAACAGGGCGGCTATGATAGAAATGGGCGGGGTTACATATTAACAGGGCGGGCTATGATAGAAATGGGCGGGGTTACATATTAACAGGGCGGGCTGTAATAGAAATGGGCGGGGTTACATATTAAAAGGGCGGGCTGTAATAGAAATGGGCGGGGTTACATATTAAAAGGGCGGGCTGTAATAGAAATGGGCGGGGTTACATATTAACAGGGCGGGCTATGATAGAAATGGGCGGGGTCAAGCATTAACAGGTTAGGCTTCGTTTAATAATGCAAAGCAGTTAGAGTTTGGTGACGAACGTTTTCAGAATGAGTTCAACCAGTGTTAGTTTAATGTTAGTGTAACGTTAGTATCAGTATTAGAGTATGTTTTCAGTATTGAAACTGCAGTACATTGTTATTTCAGCACTTCTTTACCATCACATTAAACTACAGACTGTTAGCGTCACTGATAGGAGTTTATAATGAGACAAAATACAAAATATTTAACACTGAGTATTTGACATGAAACTAAAATTACAAAACATCTTTTGAAAGCATAAAGACCATTTTACATTTCAGATTTCAGCTGATGATCGAAGCTTCTGTAACCTGTTTTATGTTCTGTTGTTGGGAAAGCTCAGTCCTGTGTGAAATATTTTAAAATAAAATTGTGTCATTATTTTAATAAGAACATTAGGCAGACAGGCAACACAAACAATTACATATGTAGGTCAACAGGTGCTCTACAGGTGTTGTACCTGGCTGAGGGCAGAGTGATGCGGCTCGTGCAGGTGACGTTGTGGGGTCCCACCTGGTGAAGGAACTCCTGATGTCGACGCTGAACGGCCGAGTTTACACACAGACTTTGATTCTGCAGATAAAATCATTTTACATCAATGAGCTTTTACTGTCTGGAGCTTTTTACATCCAGAGTGAGTATTAAAACCAGTGTGTCAGGATATAGTGACTCAGACGGCCACAGACTGAACTTTGTGAGTCTGAACACGTTCCACTAACTGACCAAATGTTTGCCTTCACATTTAAGCTGCCTCCTGTTGTTCTACTGATACACCATCATGACGTCCTGCATCCACAGTGCTGCGATCACACCTGCTGTCGGTGTGGGTGTGTGACTCACCTCCTCCTCCTGACAACATCATGGTGGGACTGACAGACGACCTTCCCATCCTGCTGGAAACTGGACTCGACTGTCCATCTCTGTCTTTGCTGTTGTGTCTGGGCAGAGACCTGCAATCTCCTGCAGAGACACAACAAGACAAACGCAGCAAAGGCATGACGACACCATCACTTGTCCTCAAGAAGAAACAAGGAACCATAAATCTGAGAGAGAACGTTAAAAAGAGAACTGACACTAAATTTAGACAAATGTGAAACTTAATAAAGAACGTGTACAAGAGGATGAAGCACTAAGAGCTCTCCTTTCTGTTAAGACCTAAAGAGCTAAACTAAAGTGATTAGGCTTATTGGAAATCCTCTTTAAATTGTCTGAAGTGTCTGCAGCAAGAAACACTCACTTCCTGTGGAATCAGATCCCTTTCCACTAAAGAAAATCAAACCAACATAATATAAATCAACAGCATTCAGGAGTGACACCTTTTACAGTTGGTCTGCAGCCTATAACCGCCTTCTGTAATCTGGGTGTGTTTGTTATCTCTGACTGAATTTTTTTGAATTTGTTTGAAGAGAGCAAACTCACATAGTTTCTGTGAAACATAAAAACACCTTAACAGCTCTCAGATCAGGAGACAGCCAAGTGTTTCCCATCATGCACTGGGATCTGAAAACTCTTGAGGCTGTCATCAGAGAGTGGAAGCAAGTCAAAATCAAATCAGACAAACCTCTAACTGGCTCAGATGAGGCTTCTGTAACACAACGCCATGTCTGCAGTCACATGACAGCTGTGGTCATGTGACTGCACAGTTTCATGGTGACTTTGTTCTTTCTGTGGATGACTACAGAAACTATCCATCCATCATCTCTACACCTTCATCCTCACTAGGGTCATGGGGGGCGGAGCCTATCTCAGCTGACTCAGGGTGAAGGCAGGTTCACCTGGACAGGTAACCAGTCTATCACAGGGCTACACTTAGAGACAGACAACCAAGCACACTCACATTCACACCTACGGACAATTTACAATCACCAATTAACCTCAGCATGTTTCTGGACTGTGGGAGGAAGCCGGAGAACCCGGAGAGAACCAACCGGCAACCTTCTAGCTGTGAGGCGCTAGCGATGCTAACCACCAAGCCACCTGCAGCCCCACTACAGAAACTAGACAGCCTTATTTCATCAGCATTCAAAGAAATAAAACACTCCAGACTTGTGCGATGAGGTTACTTATATAAATGGTAAAAGTAAAGAGTACGGACAGAAATAGTTCTGAAACGTGACGCTCAAAGCTTGACTGGGAGGAAGCTCTCTGTGGGCGTTCAGCTCTTCTGAACTGGATTCTTTGGTAAAGGCACAGGCATGGTTCCACCTTCCAGTTTAGTGTGAAGTCTCTCATCAGACAGAACAGATGTGTGGAGTTTTAACCTGCTACTGTTACTGTGAACACATTTAAATAAATAATTTGAATAAATAATCTTCAGTCAGACGACTGACTGACAGTCATCACCATGGCAACAGTGTCTCCATGGAGACAAACTGAAGTGATAATTATCCTCCTTTACAGAGCTTCAGTCCTCCATCTCTCACCTCATCAGGACATTTCATTTTTTATTCTTTGTTTCTGTCTAAACAGTGGTAATAAAACGACTTTTCATCGCTGTTCAGCCGAACCGAAGGACAAGAGGATGAGAGGAGATAAACAACACAATAAAACAGAGGTATGAGAGAATCTGGAGACAAACGCCAGGAGACAGGAAGTCAGCCTGATGTAACGAAGCACAGCAGATAACAGAAAGAAAGAGGACAAGAAAAACAAGGCCTGCTTTTTGTCCTGCTCCTTCTCTTTATAGTTGAACTTTGAAAAAAGATCTTCCTTATTACTGATTGCGAATGTTCTTTAACAGTCAGTGTATCATTGAATTTTGGTGTAGCTCTTTGTTGTGATGCATGAATAAAGGGTGACTATGGGACACTGAACAAGTTACAGCCTTATTACTGGATCCACTTAGCTGGTGATAAAGAATATGATGAGCCTGTATTGTGCTTTTCAGTACTAACAATCGCTTCCACATAGATGCTGACACAATTAATGTCACAGTTCTAATAAAACCCACTTGCAGAATCACTACTAAGAATTACGAGGAAAATACAGTCCGTTCCAGAGTTCAGAACAAGTAATCGATTCAACCAGACAGAGGTACAAAATCAGTAGACAAAGATCCAGAACAGAGACGCTGCCATGGGTCAAAAACAGGCAAATACCTACAAACAGGCAGGATACGATGGCAGCAGGGGCACAAACACTGATCTGGCAAAGAATATGGTCAACTGACAACTATGCATACAGAGTGTTAATGAGCACAGGAGTCTCAGGTGTGTGGCAGTGTGAACAGGTAGACAATCTGATCGGTTGACAGGTGGTACAGTGGCAGGAACAGTTGGCAGGTGGAGGCTGAGCAGAGGACTATGTAGCAAGAGCAGGAGGGAAAATGTGTTTAGGAGGAGCCAGAGGTTCCAGCAGAGTCCATCACAGTATGCCCCTCTACAGACACCTTGACTGATCGGGGTGTAAGCGGTGGAAGTCTCTGGTGAGGGTGGGGTCTAAGATGTCTTTGGCTGAGACCAATGATCTCTCCTTGCGACTGTAGCCATCCCAGTCCACCAAACATTGGATACTTCTTTCCTGGCTTCGGGATTTGAAGAGCTTCCTTGTAGTGTACACCTCTTTGCCATCACTGAGCCGGGGAGGAGGAGAGCTGGTGGATGGGGCCAGAGTGGAAGAGCGAGATTTTCAAAAGGGTTAGGGGCAACTGTTTGACCCTTGGCAAAAGCTGAGTAGTTATTTTTAGCATATGGTCCTTTAAGTAGGGGAATGTGGACTGCAGACTTAAAAAAAAACAATCAACCACAGTAAGGACCACTGTGCAACCATGTGAGTCCGGGAGGCTGGGTGTGGAGTCCAGGGCTCGGTGGGATCAGGGCTGGCAGAAAAAGGGCAGTGAGATAAATAGTTCGACTGGTGGTTGATTGGATGACTTTCCCTGCATGCAGCTAGGACAGGGGACCACATAATCCAGTATATCCTTCCTCTTTCAGGGCCACCAAAACCTTTGACAAAGGCTCGCCAGATTGCAAGCGACCTTCAAATTACAGATGAGTCTGGAGGCATAAGCCCACTGAAGCACCTTGGAGCAAGCAGACAAAGGGACAAACGGTTTTCCCCAAGGCTCATTGCCAGAGGATGAGTGATGACGGATGGCCTTCAGGACCTATTGCTCCACTGAGAAGCAGGATGTGGCGACTAAGCACTGGCTGGGCAGAACTGTGTCTGGCTCAGAAGGTTCTCCCTCCTTGGTGAACTTGTGTGACAGGGCATCAGGGTTCACATTTCTAGAGGCAGAACACTAGTAAAGGGAGAAGGTAAACCATCAGAAGAACCATATGCCTGCCTGAGCTTGAGCCATCCTCCAGGTTCTTGTGTTCAGTCCAAATCAGGAATGGTTTCTCTGCAGCCCTCCAACCAATGTCTCCACTTCCTCAACAACATCTTGACAGCTAGCAGCTCTCTTTGCCAATTTCGTAGTTCCTTTCCGTGGAGGGCAAAAGATGGGAGGAAAAAGCATACGAGTGCAATTTATTACCCTTTAAAGAGCAGAGACAGGACAGCTCCCACCCCCAAGTCAAAGGCGATGTTGCCGATCCCCAGGAACCTCTGAAGCGTTTTCTTGGGAGTCGACTGTGGCGAGTCCACTACAACCTTCACCTTGGCCAAGTCCATCTCCAGCCTCCCAGCCGACACTCCAAACGCCAGAACAGACACCAAGCTTTGGTGAGACTCACTTTTCTTAGCCTTCACACTTAAAAGTCAATTGTCCAGTAGTTGTTGCAGACCCCTCCTTACATGCTGCGTGTTCCTGCAGGTTCTTGAAAAAAATCTAAATATTTTTTACATATAGACAAAATAGGCTGCCAGGTGGCTCTGTGGTTAGCACTGTTAGCGCCTCATAGCTAGAAGGTTGCCGGTTGGCGTCCCGGTGAGGACACCCGGGATCTTCCTGCGTGGAGTCTCCATGTTCTCCCCGTGCAGCGTGGGTTCTCTCCGGGTTCTCCGGCTTCCTCCCACAGTCCAGAAACATGCTGAGGTTAATTGGTGATTGTAAATTGTCCGTAGGTGTGAATGTGAGTGTGCTTGGTTGTCTGTCTCTAAGTGTAGCCCTGTGATAGACTGGTTACCTGTCCAGGTGAACCTGCCTTCACCCTGAGTCAGCTGGGATAGGCTCCGCCCCCCATGACCCTGGTGAGGATTAAGGTGTAGAGATGATGGATGGATATAGATAAAGTGTGTTCACCACATCCCTAAACACATTGTTCACCAGGGCCTGAAAGACAACAATAGTCAGTCCGAATGCCATTACCAGGTACTTGTACTGTCAACTATGTGTGTTACAGGCGGTTTTTGACTTGTCTCCCTCCCGAATACATATGAGATGGTAGGCATTGCAGACAACCAGCTTCATGAAGACTGTTTCCCCTGCAAGTTCTCAAAAGCAGGTGAAACAATTCCCAGACAGTATCGGTTTTTACTCTGATGTTATTGAGGCCCTGGATATCGATATCAGGACATGAGGATTGGTCCTTCTTCGCCACAAAGATGAAGCCAGTGCCTGCCAGGGATGAAGAGGGTTGGATAATACCTGCAGATAACGAATCACTGATATATTTGTTCATGGCCTCTATTTCAGGAATGGTCAAAGAGTAAATCCTACCCTTAGGCCCTTTGCCTGTGTGACTGGTTCTGTGATGTCCCTTACCTCGATGATGGGCTGGTCAATGAGAGTGTTGGCCTGCTCGGCTTAGGGCAACTTCCGGGTGTTAACCCTGAGTTATCTTGCCACCATCAAATCAATCATGCTGTCATCCAAACTGGAATCCAGCAACAGAGCCACCTCTAATTGCTGATCTCTCCACTGCAGGGTGGTGGTCAGTAGGAAGCACCGGACAGGAGGACGGGAGGTTGGCAGATTGTGGAGCAGTTTAACCAATTTACTTTTAAGTCAAGTGTCAAACACCACAAACAATCAGTGTTTTTACCCCAGCCCTGCCTGTGTAAACTGTACACTATGGAAAAAAGTTACTCAAACTAAATGTGTCAAGGAACAAAAAACAACATATGCTATATCAAAATAAACTTTAAAAAAACTCTTCAGAAGTCACTCCCGTCCGTTTAATTCATCACAGTTCATAACACAACAAAAGGCGTCCAGTTTGGGGTTTCTGGAATAGTTTCTTCACAATTGTTAGTCACTTTAACTCAAAATGATCCATTCCTGATTTCTACAGTGATCCACAACTCAATCAAAATGAGGATGTTACTTTATTTGTTTCCAAAACACAGGACGATGTTACGGTCCTTTGTGCAAGCATGTGCAAAAGATAACCGGTGAAAGGCAGACCTGGTATAGGTCAGTAGCTTCGGCACACCATTAGTGCATGGGTTTTGTTTTTTTTTTTTTTAATTTTGGGACGCATCATCAGTAGTGTTCCTCCGGTTCATAGGGTGTGTCGGCCTTCCACACTATACACCCTCGCCAGAGGTGGCCAGCTGCAAGAGTGATCAGCTCTCAGCTTGCGTCCGATGCCCAATTAGTCATGAGAGCCGCCTTGGTGTTCACTCGTCTGAAAGAAAGAATATCCCCACATAAAAACCCAAATGTTTGTCAAACCAGGTGAAACAAACCAAAGGCTCACTGGCATTCATCCAACTCATAGTTTCCTGAAGGCATTCACTGCTCTGGACTCTTGGAATTCTGCGACCCTTCACATGTTACCGGCTCCTGATAAGATGCTGAACAGAAGCGTTGAACTACTCCAAGATGCCTGGCCAAGCTGATTCACAGTGGATCATGTAATCTCACTACTGCTTTGCTCGCATCCAGCTCCACAATCATTTGGAAAGTCCAGATATTTGGAAGTAGCGGGGCCGTCTTTGTGAGCAGGGGGAGAACTGAGCCACGTTGTTTGTTAAAAGTGCTGGTGGGGCGTAGAGGTGAGTGAACAGAACAACAATTTCATTCTCTTAATATTTAATATAATATATTTTTGTGACAATGGGGGATTCCTGTTAAACTTCTCAGTAACTCCTATTCTACTGACAAGCATGTAGCGGACGCGTCGTGTCCCCGCTGGCCACAGTAAAGTCAGGAGCCCATAATGAGAGGCCTATGTTAATGAAGGAGTCTGAAGTGAGCGGCAGTTCACACATGACTCGATCGTCTTTTACGGTTTTTAGAGAGGCCGTTTACAAATCTATCAAACTGAGTTTCAGTATTGCACAAACAGTGAGCAGCTAGCGTGTGAAAGTCCATGGCTTAATCTTAAACTGCCCTCTTGTTGTGTTTGCTGCTGGACTCAAGCCACCATTGGAAATGGAGGTCTTTTCTCCTCACTGTTCCTGCTCAGGCAGAACTTTGGATTTGTTGGGTTTCTCTGTGGAATATTGTACCGTGAGAAGTGCCTTGAGATGGCATATGTAATGAACTGCTGTAATATAAATAGAACTGAACTGAGTTGAATTGAGTTGCATTGAATTGAGTGGTGGTTGGGTGGTGGTTGGGTGGTGGTTGGGTTAGGATCAACTGAGACTGCGCTGCTTTATTACATCATCAGGGATGAAATACCAAACAAATGAAAAGCAGATCCTGTTCCTGCTGTAAAGTATTAAGAAGTATATACAGTAAACCATTATGAGAACCTGACCAGCAGCCGAGAAAACCATGAGGCCTATAACCAGTTAATCAAAAATTCACCTAATCTGTTTGTAGTTATGCTCATTGTTGTGTTCAGAACAATGTGTCATAGTTGCAGTTTCAGCACAGCTGTAATACAGATGTAGTGCCGAATGGTATCTCCTTGTTCTTCCTGCTTTCTCGGTATTTCTTCATCACCTGTCTGCCTGATGTAACGGCAACCTGAAACTACAGCGGTGTAGTTGTGGTGTAATACTGATGCAGCACTACTACTGTACAGATGTCATAGTGTTTGTAGTACTTATTGGCATTGTTACCTTCACCCTCCTTGCTCTTCCTTCCTCCTGACCCCCTCTTCATCACCTGTCTGCCTGATGTAAACAGGTTGTTGAGTTCTTCCAATGGGCTCGTTGGAGTCTGTGACCTCATTGACATGTTCTGCATGGAGCCGTGGGTGGAGGAGGAGTTACTGAGTTTAGCTCCACCCTCCCCGGCCCTATGTGAGGATGATGAAGATGAAGATGAAGAGCGAGGCATACTTCCTCCTGCTATCAGAGTATCATATGGTGGCGGTCTCTTCAGACTCAGAGGTGTCAGGGAGCGACCCATGCTGACCGGTGATGGACATGCTGATTGGCTGCGGGGATAACCATGACCGCTGTGGGTGGAGCTAGATGACTTGTAGATGTTGGAGGGAAGAGGCGGTGCTGATGAGCGACCGGAAGATGTGATGGTATGTGTGGAGGGTAGATCCCGATCCCTGTCCCTGTCCCTGTCCCTCTCGCGGTCTCGGTCTCGGTCTCGGTCCCGATCTCGGTCTCGGTCTCGATCTCGATCTCGGTCTCGGTCCCGTTCTTTGCGGTGATGGGTGGAGCTCTGTGGGTGTTCGACACCCCCTGACTTGTTGTAGGACACATTTTCTAGCATGGGGAGCCGAGTGACGTCTAAGGGAGTGAGGGGGGACTCGTCTGAGTTGGGGGAGCACTGAGCAGGTGCAGCAGGGAAGACAAGCAGTGGTGGGCGGTGCGTCAGGAGGTTGGGGAAAGGTGGAGGAATGTCACAGAGCGAGCCACGGGATGACCATGCATCAGGATACATGATAGCGGCCTGCGCATCCTGCAGGAAGTCCTCCAGTATTGGATACTTCATCTCCTCGTACACTGACTCGCTCTGCTCGTCCTCCACAGCCTTCTGACCTTTCAGCTCTCGCAGAATGTTTCCCACCATCTCAATGTAAACTGGCTCTTCATCGTCCGTGTCTCTAGATGCTGGACTCTGACTTTGGGATGAAGATTTGTCCCATCGCAAGGAAGACTTCTTGTTGCTATGGTTACGGATGTAAGACTCATCAAAGGAGGTGCTGAGCTGAGTGTTGGGGTTCCTCTTGGGTTTTGGTGGCGGCATCTTCTTGGAGTCCTCAGTGTGGAAAAAGCATCGAGCTGCAGACAGACAGATGGTCATGTTAAAACCTGAAGCAGATGCATCACTGCCTCCATAGCTCCCTGCTACAACCTCCAGGCCACATTGAAATGATGTCACTCATGCTTGAAATCCTGTGTCTAAAAAAAGATTTATTAATCAGCAGACAAAAAACATCAAAGTATTCTCAGTGTCATTACTGTGTTCACCAGCTTTTCTCGAAAGAAAAGTATAAAGGAAAAGACTGCCTGTTCCTGACTGTCTTTGCTGTTTATCCAATAAGATCACAGACTTTCCGCACTTCTTTAATAAATACAAAAAGCAAAAAAACTTGTTCCCACCTTCTGCCTGTTCAGGTGTCTCTTTGGTCTCTTGGTGGTCTCGCTTAGTGATTCCAGAGCTTCCATCCACTGTTTCAGAGCTGCTGCTTAGTTTGGTGTTGGGGTCTCTCTTAGGTTTGGGTGGGGGCTGTTTGCGGTTGTGGTTGGAGTCATCGTCTCCTCCGCCCACAGAGTGAAGGGACTGGGACCGGACAGTGAAGCCCTGGCTGGGTGGGGGCAGGCGGTCCTGTGGTGCTGGCATTGTCATGAAACCCATCCTGAAATGTTTCCCAGAGTATGCTCCATCTGTTGCCATAGCGACATCTTCACCAATCCTGGGCAGACCAACAGAAAGTCATGTTAGGACTCTTCCAGTATCACCATCCAATCATGCAACACTTTATAAAGCCCACTAGAAATTACAGGACATTACTGATGGAACTATGCAATACACTGACTGTGCAATGTCTGATTATTTATGCTGCTACCCGTTTATTTATTCGATGAGTTGATGGACTTTTAATCCGTTTATCTTGTTGCTTTGTGTTATATTGTTATTTCTCTTGCACTTTATTTCATTTTGTATCACTGACAAGAGTCACTCTCAAAATTAGCTGTGCAATGACAAAAAAAAGTATTTTATTCGATTCTAATGTATAAACAAGCTTCACAAGGCATAATACAAAACCACTGTATATAATTCTATAGCAGGCAATGTTTACCATGCTGCTGTGTTTAATTATGTCAGTGCTGGTGTTACATGATGTCACCGCACATACTGTAAGAACGTGACAAATAAAAAATAAAACATTCTATGTTCATTTGTTTAATTTCCATTTTCAGCAATAAAATGGGGTTGAACATACTGTAGGGTGAAAAAAGAAAAGAAAAGCTAATGCAGTGATAGATTTAATTTCAGACTTCAACTGTCAGTTTACGGAAACCACCAAACACTTTCATGCTTACATGTTGAAAGGCTTCAGTGTTTTTTTTGTTTGTTTTATTTTTTACCATTTGATGGCTTCTTCCTGCCGCCTCTTCTTCTGGTGTTTTTCCTGCAGGTAGGTCCAGTTGGTCTGGTTGCGAATGCGATCACTCTCTCTGGCAATGTCAGAGGCGTTTTGGATCACCAAACCATCGTACGTTCGAAGGCCGCTGTCCTCCACATACTGGAAAAACCTTCTGAAGGAAGAAGCCTCCTCCTGCGACATCATGACTCCCCAAAGACCTGAGAGGTGGATCAGAGTGGACCAGATCACGGAAGGTAACAGAGTTTAACAGAGTTTGGGTTGATCCTAGCCTCCAATCCAACAGTCTGAACCTGCTACAGTCTTTGAATCTGGTTAGAATTGATGTTTTACTTTGGGGGGACATAAATAAAACAAAGTCAGGCCCTAAAAACAGGCAGGGTTGAAACAAGTGTGAAAAAACCCCTGGTGCTGACTGTCATTGTCATGGTGGTGTTAAAAAGTTTAAAACGTGTGAGACAGAAAAATACTGAATCTACTGTCACACACTTTGTGTTCAGAGAGTATTTCCAGTTAATGTACCTGGTATGTTTACTAGGTTCAAGCTGATACAATGATGGCATTTCACAATAAAATCCTTGTTGGTACATGAGGGGTCTGTACTCAGTGAGTTTACAGAATTTGCATTAATAGCATAATGTCATAACTTTAGGAGGACAAACTGGGGTTTTGTACAAAAATACTAAAAATTTAACTTTGCTAGCTAGGACCACACCATCAAACTGAACCTTGACGGTTTGTTGGGTACAAATGAGCGTTGTGTTGGTGATGACTTAGATGAGCTGGTGTGCTGATGGGAAATGCTTAGTCAGGGACAAACTGCAGCTCCAGGGCTGGCAGACCCCCACAAAGTCCCATAAGAATGAAACAAAGAGTGGACATAACGTGGGTCTTCAGGGTCGGAGCAGATGAGAAGCAGATACACTTGAGGCCCATGGCATTGATTATGTGGTCTGGAACCCCTCGGCTGCAAGCTGCGTCAGTACAGAAGGATACTAAGAATATACTTGGATTGTGGGTGTCGTCAGGACTTACTTGAAGCGGAAGAGGAGTCGGGATAAGGCTGCAGCTTGACCAGTCTCTGTAATGAAATGAGGGTCAGAAGGCTGAAGCGTCCTGAGATTTTTTTGGTTTGTATATGGTGTACGATGGATTTGTAAGGGCTTAGGTGTGAATCGAGTTTGGACTACATGATGGGTGTTGGATTACCCGCTTGATTGGTTTGACTTTGTTCGAGTGAATAGACTGGACAGTCTTCAGAGATGCAGAAAGTTCGAATACAGGATGTGGAAGAGGTTCTGTAGGATGACAGTGCAGCTCAAACTCGACTTGTCGGTCAACTTTGCAATGGACTCTGTACGTAGAAGGAACAAAGGAAGGCCAATAGAAATGTTGATTCTAGAGCTGGGACGTATTGATGCCTTAGGATAGGCAGACAGATGCCAGTAGACCATAACCACGGTGAATAAATTATCCCATGATAATTAATAACTATCATGGGATAATTTATTTATTTATTTTTTGTCCTCCAAAAGTTATAATTCTGAGCAAAATGAGATGGAGCTGGATAATGTAGCTACATTGAACAATGGATGGGGGAGCAGAATCTATTATGGCAGGAGTGAAGGGAGTCACTGATTAGCTGCAGTGGCCTTGGAAGTGTTCGATGTGGAGGAGACTGAGGTATCACACAAGAGGCATGACTGTGAGAGAGTTGCATTGACTTTTGTTGATAAAGATGATGAGGACGTGGTTAGTGGGGTGAATGAGGATGGATATTTGCTTGTAAATTCGTGGCTCTATGAGAGGGCAGCGATAACGATGGGGTAGATTTTGAAGACTGCTGGAGAGTTTTATTCAATAAGTTGCGAGAGCATTGGAAGCTACAGCATTATTGACTAAGAAAACCCCAAAACCAGTGGAAGGAGTATGTCTGTGAAGAGCTGACTGCTGCCTGGGATCCTGTTCATGAGTGATGGTAGAATCGAGCGTGAGATAGACAAGCATGATCAGTAATGCAGGCTTGTACTGGACCATCGTGGTGAGGAAAGAGCTGAGCCAGAAGGCAAAGCTTTTGATTTGCTGGTTGAGCGACAGTCAGAACCCTAACCTATGGTCATGAGCTCACGATGGTGTTGGAAGAACTAGATTGTGGGTACAAGCGGCCAAAATGAGTTTCCTCCCCAGGTTGGCTGAGCATGGCCTTTGAGATACAGCGAGGAGCCATCTGGAGGGAGCTTGCGGTACAGTTGTAGCTGCAGCAAGGGGAGCCAGTTGAGGTGGTTTGGATGCCTGATTTAGATGCCTCTTGGATAACTTGTTGGCATGGCCAATGGAAGTATGTGCCACTGGTATCTTTTGCTGGAAATTTAAACAGAAGGTTGACAGGGAGTATGATGGTGAAAGGAACTGGTGTCCCAGTGTCAAACGTATACCTGTTGATGAGGTATAACGAGGCTAGTGAAACTGGCATCTTGGTGCCAGAATGAGAGCTGAATTTGTTGAATCGGAGGATAGAGATGAGTGAAACTGGCATCAAGCCAGAGGGAGCCGGAATTGTTTAGGCAAGAGATACAAATGAGTGAAACTGACATCTCTGTGCCAGAATGTGAGTCAAAAATGTTGAAGTGGAGAACACAGATGAGTCAAGCTGGCATCCCGGTGCCAGAATGAGCCCAAATTGTAGGGTTAGGTTAGAGACGAGTCAAATCCTTTATATATCTGGGCTTCTGACTGGATTCATCTCTGTCTTTCGCCACACACATTAACAGTCTTCAAACTAAACTCAAAACCAGACTAGCTTTCCTCTTCCGCATCAAAGCATCCTTCACTCATGCTGTTAAACACACACATGACAATACTCCTGATTCAGGACTGTGGCGACATCATTTACAAAATGGCCCCAAGCAGCGTGTTCAAACACTGGACTCTTCATCACTCAGCCATCTGCTTTGCCACTAATGCTCCTTCCACACCCACCACTGCCACCTCTATGAAGTGGTGAGGTGGCCTCCCTTCAGACTCGGCAGCTTCACCACTGGTTTCATTTCATTTACCAGTCAATTCTGGCCCAGACACCTCCCTGCCGACCCTCTCTTCTTCAAGTTGCCCAGAGTCCTCATCATACTGGGTCCAGTGACTACATCAGGCTCATCATCCCAGTACTTCTACTATTTTCTCCTTTTGCTTTGCAGCAGCTAACAGTCGGAGCATCTTACAAAACACTCTCCAACTTGCAGCTCTGACTGCGCTCACCACCTTCAAGCTCAAAGTCCAACAGACTGTAGTCGACTGTTGGTCCTGCTGATCACGCCGGACTTTACGTACACACTTATATCTGCACACACACTGTCTTACACCTCATGCACATCGTTTCTCACTCACATGCTTCTTATGTTTAGTTTTGTTCTATGTCATGTTTATGTGTCGAGCTGTACTTTACATGTGTTTGTTCCTGCTGGCGCCTCTTGGTCAAGTCAGGGTTGCAAATGAGAACTGGCTCTCAAACATTTTTACCTGGTAAAGTAAAGGTCCGATAAATAAAATAAAAAAATCTGACGTCCAGTGCCAGAATGAGGGCAGGAGATTGTTGATGTCAAACTTCTTTACTTCTCTGACTGGCAGTTGGCTCATGGCATCTGGATCTTCTCCTGCAGACTGAAAGGAAACTAAAGCACTTGCTAAGGATGGTGAGATGACTCATAGGTGGAAACTGAGGGCACTTGATGTGGGCTGAATGAGTTCTGAGTGGGTTTTTGGGTGCTCGAATGTTGATGGAGGTTGTAGCAGACGTGACGTAGGGTTGGTGACTTGGTTGTGTTTTGTGAGGTTGTGAGGGTAAACAGGAATTGGTAAGAATCTGTACTACAGAAAGTCTGGAAGCATGTTAATGTTTGAATTGCTGTATAGAGAAAGATTTAATGTCAGTTTGAGGAGAGGATATCTGTACAGTGTCTCAAACACTGCTGCAGAAGGAGCAAACCTGCTGGTATCAGCACTGAAAGTGACAGAGAATCTGGAATCTGTGTAAAAGTGGAGGGTTGTTGATGTTGGGGAAGTAGTTAGTGATGCTGGCATCCTGGCTAGGAATCAAGGCAGAAAATTGATGACCAATGTGGTCAAAAAAATGGTTGTGAGGGCAGGCCAGTCAAGCTTGACCAGTGCTGCAGAAGAAGCAAGTGTGCAGGCATCTGTGTTATGCCCAGCTCGATGAAGAGCATAACAAAGAAGGGAGGTCGACACAGGAACAGCTTTTTAAATAAATGAGTCAAAACTAATGATAAAGTCCACAAACCAAAACCAAACCAAGGGAGACCTGAAAGGCTCCAGCCTTCCAGGACGGAGAAAGAGAGAACGCCAGCTGGGATTCACCCAGCTTTTAAAGGCACCAAGCAGGTGAAGCCAATCCTTTAATGAAATGGGAGGAGCAGGCCATCCAGACTGGGAAAAGGAAAGCAGAGGCAGGAGTGCAGGAAAACACACTGACAAGGCCTGTGGCCGTCACACCTTCGCTGAGGTGTGCCGCAGCCAGCAAGGTTAAGACTGCTGCAGATAGTTTGTCCTTGTAACTGAAGCACTGGCCTTCCTATAGGTCAATGCCTCATGGCAAGAGTTGGAAGCTTTGTGGCCTTGGGAATAGCAGCTAATAGTGATGCTGTAGAGTGAAGATGATTGAAGACGAAAGATCTGCTTCAAATTGTGGACAGTACATGTGGTGGCTGGTTGGCTCAACTACTGTACCCTCATGTGTGACGTGTTGAAGATGAACATGCTTAATAGGTGCAATGATATAGTTTGTAGTAGTGACGCCCCCAGCAGGTGTCTTAGATGAATTGTAGGAAGCGAACTGGACGGAAGAATGATGAGCACCTGTGTTACCAGGAAGGAGGGTGATGTTGAGAATAGTTAGATAGTTGTTGAACTCTTGTGCTATGAACTAGCAACCCGGCACCGATAGAGAGCCAGAGCTAGAGGTTGCTAGGAAGGGGGGATGGTAGGGAGGAACTGGCAACCTGATGTCGACAGACACAAAAAGAGAGAGAGAGAGAGTTTGCCGGGGATGGGGGATGGAAGCGAGCGGCTGGCGGGCCATTGCCAGATGAGGAAGGAAAAGGTTGTTGGGAAGTTTCAAGGGAGGATCGTTGAGCTGGTGTCCCATGGCTGGAAGTGGCTGTAGAGGTGGAGCGGGACCAGGTTGCAG